TCTCTTGACTCAGCCTCCTGAGTAGCTGGGACTACAGGCACCCGCCACAACGCCTGGCCATTTTTGGTTGCAGCCATCATTGTTGTTTGGCGGGCCCGGGCTGGGGATTCAAACCCACCACCTTAGATGTATGTGGCTGGCGCCTTAGCCGCTTGAGCCACAGGCGCCGAGCCCCAAGAGTGGATTTGAGTAGGTATAGCTTGATCCAGGGATCTTAAGGTTATAATTACAATTTTCTTCTCTTTCTTTCTTTCTTTCTTTCTTTCTTTTTTTTTTTTTGAGAAGGAGTCTCACTCTGTCACCCTAGGTAGAATGCCGTGGCATTGTCATAGCTCACAGCAAACTCAAACTCTTGGGCTCAGCAGTCCTCTTGCCTCAGCCTCCCAAGTAACTGGGGCTATAGGTATTTCCATGATGGTGACTAGTTTTTCTATTTTTAATTAAGACAGGGCCTTGTTCTTGCTTAGGCTGGTCTCAAACTCCTAAGCTCAAGTGATCTACCTGTTTCTGCTTTTCAAAGTGCTAGGATTACAGGTGTGAACCACAGTGCCTGGCCCAATTACAAATTTTTTTCCCTCTCTTTTTAATCTCTTAGTTTCTTCTCTTTTAGCTTCATTCTCAGAGAAACTCTAGAAATGGTGTCAGGAGAGCTCAGCCCCCTTGCACTCTTAGAATCATGAGTTTGTGATCCTAGAGGGAAGAGATTCATCCTTTCTTCCAATGCCTGTATCGGTCACTGAAGAGAATAATGATTAGCCTTGCCTGGGCCATGTGGACACCTCCAGACCAATTGTAGTGTCCGTTTGCTTGGGCTTTCTAATGGGAGTAGGTGACATGACCGCCCTGCAGTGAAGAACGTGTGAGAAATGTTATTGATCGTTGTTCCAGAATGAATCACATGTAGCAGACGTAAGGCAGTTTCCAAAACAGACCAAAATAAGTTCAGATTTCTAGTACATCATGCTGGTTTGATTATGGTTAGTATTTATTTTTTTCTCTACTTTTCTATATTTTTATATTGGACAGTTAACTAGTAGTAGTTCTGTAATAAGAAATTTTTTTTTTTTTTAATTTTGAGACAGAGTCTCACTTTGTCACCTGTGGCAGAGTGCCGTGGCATCATAGCTCACAGCAATTTCAAACTCTTGGGCTCATGATTCTCTTGACTCAGCCTCCTGAGTAGCTGGGACTACAAGTGACCACCACAATGCCTGACCTAAGAAAAAAAAATTTTTTTAATTTATTTAATTTTTTTTTGAGACAGTCTCACTTTGTCACCCTTGGTAGAGTGCCATGCATCATAGCTCACAGCACCCTCAAACTTTTTGGCTCAGGCTATCCTCTTGCCTCAGGTTTGCATTTTTAGGAGAGACAGGGTTTCACTCTTGCTCAAGCTGGTCTTGAACTCAAGAGCTCAAGCATCTACCCACTTTGGTCTCCCAGAGCGCTAGGATTACAGGTGTGAGCCACTATACTCGGCCCAGAAAAAAATTTTGATGCAATTTTCCAAAAATAATGAAATAATGAGGTTTTAGTGAACTATAATCAGGCCCCTGCACTCCAGCCTGGGTGACAGGGAGTTCCAGTCTAAAAGAAATAAATAAATGAAGAATGAAATAATTTGGGGCACTGTGGCTCACACCTGTAATTCTAGCACTCTCGGAGGCTAAAAGGTGGGAGGATCACTTGAGTTCAGGAGTTTGAGATCAGTCTAAGGAAGAATGAGACCCCATCTCTACAAAAAATAGAAAAATTATGGCTTGGCACCTGTAGCTCAAGCAGCTAGGGCGCCAGCCACATACACCAGAGCTGGCAGGTTCGAATCCTGCCAAACAACAATGACAATTATAACAAAAAATATAGCCGGGCATTGTAGTGGGCGCCTGTCGTCCCAGCTACATGGGAGGCTGAGGCAGGAGGATCGCTTAAGCCCAAGAGTTTGAGGTTGCTATGAGCTGTGATGCCAGGACATTCTACCTAGGGCAACAGAGTGAGACTCTGTCTCCAATTTAAAAGGGGAATATGAAGAGGTAAAGATGCTAACTTTTCTTTTCTTTTTTCATTAGCACTGTTGCAAGAATTCAATTCCGTCTTCCTGATGGTTCTTCCTTTACAAATCAGTTTCCTTCTGATGCTCCTCTAGAAGAAGCAAGGCAGTTTGCTGCACAGGTAAATTTGTCTTGAGTTCTGATAAAGCTAAATATATATGTTATTAAATTATAGGAATGGAAAGCTCCATGGCCAGGCCTGGTGGCTCATGCCTGTAATCCTAGCACTCTGGGAGACAAGGCAGTGGCTTGGCTTGAGCTCATGGGTTCGAGACCAGCCTGAGCCAGAGCCAGACCCCATCTCTACTAAAAATACAAAAAACTGAGGCAAGAGGACCGCTTGAGCCTCAGAGTTGGAAGTTGCTGTGAGCTATGATGTCACCGTGGCACTCTACCCAGTTGTGACTCTGTCTGAAAAAAAAAAAACAAATTCCAAAGCAGAACTTGAAGACTAAGTCATGACTCATCTCGAAGATGAAAACACAAGACACCTCTGAGACATAGTCCAACTTCTACTGTGCATTAGTGTATATGTGCACAGTGTATCTGCTTGTTATACAGAGAGTAGGCATTTGCTGATTCTGTGTGGTAGAGGAGTAAGAAGCAGGTGGTTTCCTGAAGGTCCTACTCCCCTGAAAAGGAAGAAGTTTTACTTGATCCTCTGTTTTTTATAGGTTGCTTAGGGACTGACCTTTTTCCTACCGCCTACCTGTTGCCAAGCAAAAAGAGCAGTAAACTTTATTTGACAAGTATCTTCTTTAGGAATTTACTTCCGGAATATAGCCTTAGTTAAAATCTGAATGAGAGATGAACTTTTATATCTTGGAAAGTAAGATGTGAGTCATTTCCAATTTGTTTTTACTTTCTGATTGGTTCCTTATTCAGAATGGGTTCTGGGTATCAGGTGCCTTTTAGATTCCAGGCTCTTTATATACCAGTTATCTTTCATGTATATATCTTCAAGGTTAAACTTGGAGGTTTGGCTTAAGATTTTTATGCTAGATATCTTTGCTCCATTTATTCTCCCTCACTTATGGGTCCCAAGGGAAGGACACCTCAAAAGGCGTCTGCCTTTCTCAACTGGTGAGTTAAGCTAGACAGTGTTAAAGCTTCCCCTGGCTGGGCACAGTGGCTTACGTCTGTAATCCTAGCACTCTAGGAGGCTGAGGTGGGAGATCAGGAGTTCAGTACCAGCTTGAGCAAGAGCAAGACCCTATCTCTACAAAAAGTTTAAATATTAGCCAGGCATGGTGGTATGTGCCTGTAGTCCCAGCTACTTGGGAGGCTGAGGCAGCAGGATTGCTGGAACCTAAAAATTTGAGGTTACTGTGAGGTAGGCCAACTCTATGGCACTCTAGCCAGGGCAACAGTGAGATTCAATCTCAGTAAAACAAAACAAAAAGCCCCCCAAAATAACTTCCCCTAAACTTTATAGTAGAACCAATTCTGAAACAGACTGTTTCATTCTTCTTTTGTTTGGGGGCCTCCCACAAGGTTTCCCCCCATCCTGAGTCTTACTGCTTTTGCCACAGGAAGGGCGCTGACAAGGGAAAATGAGTGATCTTTGATTGCATCTGTCCTATTAAAACTCTGCCTTAATACAATGAGCAAATTATTATTACTAATTTTTTTTTTTTTGAGACAGAGTCTCACTTTGTCACCCTTGGTAGAGTGCTGTGGCATCATAGCTCACATCAACCTCAAAAAAAAAAAAAAAACTTGGGCTCAGATGATCCTCTTGCCACAGCCTCCCAAATAGCTGGACTATGGGTACCTGTCACAACACCTGGCTGGGGTTTTTTTTTCCATTTTTAATAGAAGACAGGGTCTCGCTCTTGCTCAGGCTGCTCTTGAACTCCTGTGCTCACGTGATACACCTGCCTCAGCCTCTCAAAGTGCTAGGATTACATGTGTGAGCCACTGCATCTGGTTTAATGAGCAAATTTTTAATTTTTGTATGTTCTTAGGTTAGAGTGAGAACAGTAGAGTTATGTGTGTGACCTATGTTAATAAAATTACAAAAAAATGAATTAGGCTCTTTCTTTGGAATCTTCTAGGGAAAGATGAGCAGCTGTCTAAGATTTTATAAGTTTAGGTGACTTAAAATTGTGAAGATAATTGTGGTACTCAGCAGTATAAATTCCTGGATTGGGATTATATGTATATAGTGTAGTCAGATTCTGGACCATTTTGTGCTTTGAAACAAGGAGGAGGCTAAAGCTCCTGGAGTTTTATATATGACGGAAATTCTGGTCTAGTCCAGATTTTTAGTAGGGAGTACAGATGATCTAAATGCCTCTTTGTAAGAAGTGAAATCCCTAATGATGAACTGCAGCCATAAAGGAGATAAATATTTGCTCATTTTTATTCAGTTTATTACATGGTTTTAGGAACTATATTCTTGCTACATTGCAGTCATCTTTGAGTTATAGAAAGTTTTAAAAACGTTGGATTTGAGGCTGGGCACAGTGGCTGACTCCTGTAATCTTGGCACTCTGGGATGCCAAGGTGAGTGGATTGCCTGAGCTAATGAGTTGGAGACCAGCCTGAGCAAGAGCAAGACCCCATCTCTAAGAAAAACTGGGCTTTGTGGCAGATGCCTATAGTCCCAGCTACTCAGGAGGCTGAGATTAGAGGATTGCTTCAGCCCCAGAGTTTGAGGTAGCTATGATACCACGGCACTCTACCGAGGGTGACAAAGCAAGACTCTGTCTCAAAAAAACAAATACAGGGGCAGCACCTGTGGCTCAGAGGGGTAGAGTGCAGACCCCATATACTGGAGGTGGTGGGTTCAAATCCGGCCCCAGCCAAAAACTGCAAAAAAAAAAAATACAAAACAAAAAACATTTGGATTTGATAGCTTTTCAGCTTTTTGAAGTGTACCTTTTATAAGTGTTAATTTTGCATTTACATTTAAGTAAACTTTTAAGCCAATTTTAATGAAGTCATTTTGGACACATATTAGTAATAAAGTATCTTCTAAAAAGACACTGTATAATCTTTTAAAACTTATGTTACAGACTGTTGGCAACACTTACGGTAATTTTTCATTAGCAACCATGTTTCCCAGGAGGGAATTTACCAAAGAAGATTATAAAAAGAAATTACTGGATCTGGAACTTGCCCCAAGTGCTTCAGTGGTACTGTTGCCAGTATGTATTTTTTTCTATTCTTACAGTTTTCTGTTTGTTCTCCTTATCTTTTTATTTTTTGAAGATCTTAATTCTAAGTCTTTTGTTTCTCCTGATTAATTCAAGGATATATATATATATATACACACACACACACACAATTAGGTTACATTGTTTACATTTGTAAGGTAAAGTCCAGGTTGTAGTTGATTCCTCATCATTTTTTATGATTATTAGGAAGGGCAAAGGTATACTGTGAGAAATTAAAATCCAAAAACTAGATCAAATTATTGTTCCGTTATCCAGTGCTTTATATACTTGTATTGCTGATATTGCTTGTGAGACCCATGTAGTTTAACTTTCAGCTTTTTTCCTCTCCTATTTTTGTGTATAAAAAATGACTACTTAGCCAGGTGTTGTGACAGGATGGCTTGAACCCAAGAAGTTGAGGTTGCTGTGAGCTATGATGCCATTGAACTTTAGTACCTAAGGCACAGAGTGAGACTCTGTTTAAAAAAGAAAGAAAAAAACTGCCAGGATAGAAAAATCAGAAATGCAGATTATCTAATAATTCATGGACTTAAAATCTTTTATTTATATAGAGCTCTACTGTTTACCAGGTTTTTCAAAAACATGTTATTTTAACATAAAAATAACAAAATAACATTAATTTTTAAACAAATTATCCCATTTGATCTTCACAATATTTTAATCTCTGATAAAGAAGAGAGGCTCACTGGCAGCGTCCATTGCTTAGTGGGTAGGGCACTGGCCACATGCACTGGGGCTGGTGGGTTCGAACCCAGCCCTAGCCTGCTAAAAACAAAAAAATAGCCGGGCTTTGTGGTGGGTGCCTGTAGTCACAGCTGCTCATGAGGGTGAGGCAAGAGAATTGCTTAAGCCCAAGAGTTTGAGGTTGCTGTGAGCTGTGACACCACGGCATTCTACCTAGGGTAACAAAATGAGACTCAAAAAAAAAAAAGAAGAAGAAGAAGAGAGGCTTAGATAGCTAAATGACTGCCACAGTCCCACCTTAAATGCCAGAGCTGAGCTAAGAGGCTGGGTCTCCTATGTCATGGATAGTGTAGTTTTCCCTGCTCTATCCTGGAACACCTCAATGTAAAACAGTGAGCCCTACAGTAATCAGGATTCATTTCATTATATTCACTGAGGTTTAAAACCCTTCCTTTTATTTTTTATATCAGCAAGAAAGTGTTTTCTTATTAAAGTTAATTTTATTACAAAAGTTTTAATTTACAAATATTTGGTTGATTTCACCAATAGCTACTTTGTACTCTGTATAATTACTCTTTAAAAACAGAGTTCCCAGGAGTTCCCAAAAGTTTATACACACATGAAAAATATCAAAAGTGGTAATTTTACCTTGCAGTAAGTTAAAATCAGTAGGACCTCCCTTTCCTTAGAAAAGGTTCATCTAGAATATGGGTGTGAGGTAATTATGCTAATGTAGCTTTTATCTGGGTTTATTTCTTAATTTCTAGGCAGGAAGACCAACTACATCGATTGTACACTCTTCCAGTGGAGACATTTGGACATTGTTGGGGACAGTACTTTACCCATTCCTTGCCATCTGGAGATTGATTAGCAATTTCTTATTTAGTAATCCTCCTCCTGCACAGACTTCAGTGAGAGTACCATCGTCGGAACCCCAAAACCCTGCATCATCTAGCAAATCAGAAAAAAGGTATGTGTGTTTTCCCCATTTCCAAAATATGTAAGTAAGACCCAATACCTGTTGTGTTTTTTTTTTTTTAGAGACAGTGTCTCACTTTATCACCCTTGGTAGAGTGCCATGACGTCACAGCTCACAGCAACCTCCAACTCCTGGGCTTAGGCGATTCTCTTGCCTCAGTCTCCTGAGTAGCTGGGAGTATAGGCGCCCACCACAACACCCAGCTATTTTTTTTGTTGCAGTTTTGCTGGGGCCGGGTTCAAACTCACCACCCTCAGTATATAGAGCCAGCACCCTACTAACTGAGCCACAGGCACCGCCCAGCCTTTTTCAAAATATAAAGTTTGTTATGAGTACTTCTTACTATACATATATGTCCTCTCTGGTCCTCACACTGGAGGGAACAAACAGAAATGTTCTTTTTTTTTTTTTTTGAGACAGAGCCTCAAGCTGTCCCCCTGGGCAGAGTGCCGTGGCATTACAGCTCA